GGAGGGTGACAGAGTGGGCTTTGGTGGGCATCTGACATCTGGCCAGGGTCAACCCACCACACCAGCCTATAAATCAAGAGGAGACATCACATCCACAGGAATGCTACAAAATACTACTATTTCTCAAATATCTTTGCATTACAAAGGATCTACAAAAGTATCCAGCAAATAAATCTTCACAGAGAAACACACTTGCTCAGAATTTCTCTAGAATCTTTTAAAAAGTCCTTAGTCTACCTATTTAATTTATAAATTCATCAGGCAGTTCTTGCTATAACAAAGAAAGTGAACTTCATGAGTTACCACACAACAGCAATCACTAATGATTCATAGTACATTTCTATGGAGTCTATTGCAGCTTTCAAAGACGCATCTATCTAGACATACTCCACTAAACCTAACGCCGCAAATAGAAAATAATGAGTGAATGACAATATGAATGAGGAAAGCACAACTTAAAACAGACAAAAAGGCACAATAGAACAATTTCTAAAAGGTAATTCATTATGAAAAACAGTTTAAAAAGAAAGTAAATTTGATGGTTCACTGACAAGAAGTCACATGCCAGGAAGATGCCACATGGCTGATAAGCAGGTACTCATTAATCATGACAGAAAGATGTAACATGTATAACCCGCAATCCAGAGCACCAGTGTTCAGTAATGAACATCTTAAGGAAACTAAAGTGGCATGCAGACCTTTACATAAAAAAAAGACAGATGAGTATAATCTCAAAGTTTCTTAGCGTGGATAACTTGTATTTTCTTACACACTTCATTATATACACAGATATATATGTTTTGTTATACACATAATTATTCAAATCCTATCTCCTATACTATCTACAAAGTTCATAACCGAGCCAGTGTATACTCCTATTCCATCAAGAAAGGAAGCTGACAAATCTTGTAAGTTCCTAGAATCACAGCTTTTATTTTAGATTTGGCATTGCTTGCCTCTAAAGATTTCTACTATAATTTTAAAACATTATGAAAATGTATTTTAACACCATAACATTATTTCATAATTTCAGTCACCACAGATAACTCTGAAAGTCTTCTTGCATTTTACTAATATAGCAAATGCAAAAATTGCTCAACTCAAAATGTAACGTAAATAGTACAGAACTTATGTGCCACTTTTTCTTAAAGCCTTAAACATAGTGTTGTGTGTTGCGGATAAATTGACCTCCTAGATTAATTATCATCACTTTAAACCTACCTGCTTATTTTTGCCTTCTGTATTTTTTATTACAATTACCATCAATTCTTGTCTCTTATTTATTAAAATGTCTGCAGTTTGTAATTCCTGCTTGCTCTATACTCATGAAAGTAGCAAAGATATTTCCCCCCATTTAAAATTGCCAAAGACTTGCCTTAATGTAACTCATAAATTCAGTAGTAAGAGTATCCGATTCATCAAACTGGTTTTCTGTTTCTCTTGACTTATCATTGACAAGCAAGTGAGAAGATCCGTGATGGAATTCCACTAATAGCAACAATAAAAAAAAGATAGAAGATTGATTTCTTGTTCAGCTCGAATCTGTTACTCAACACAATTTAGGGTATTAAATTATAGCACTTAAAAGCAAACAAAGTTTAAATTCAAAGCATATTAAAAACACCAAACAAAGTAAAACTTTTGCATTCTAAGGAGTGATGCCAATTAATTTCAAAGTTGTAATAAATCAATACCTTGGGCTGATACAGTTGTAGATCAGAAGCACCACAACAGGCATTGATGGAGTCAATTTTGAACTACACCAAATATATTTTACCAATACAAGAACACAGTTGGACAACTAAAGTGTGTTTTAAGACATTCAGGTGTCTGCCAGTGACTTGTGGTTTAATGCAACTTTAGAGTTATTATACTATAACAAATACTCAAACTCTCAGCAGAACTCAAACCAAACAATTCAGAGCTTTCAGAGCCTATGCCAATCTCTTGCTTACATATACTACTTCCAGGGGTATGAGGCAGTTATTACTGCCAATAATTTCCTCTGCTTGAAGTGGTCTGATCCTATAGCTTACTCTCTCCAGTGTGCTAATAAACGCTGTAAGTAGGGTGTAATGCTTTTACTATCACACTTAGTATTCTACTAAATTCTGATGAGTAACTCAATTGAAGTCCATTTAATCTAGTCTGTAACACTGGAGAAAGGCTGATCTTCTATTTATGTGGTTTCCATACGCAACTCGCTGAGTTCATCCTGCCATTTATCATTAGTATATGCAGACTTTGGAGAAACATTGTCTATCAATATGTAGATTTAAGTTAGAAATATGTAAATTACTTGAATAAAATTTAGATAAAATTACACCTTCTCTCAAAATCTGAAGAGATTTGTTTTTTTCCAGAGGAAATTCTAACGTTGAATAATAAAGCTTTATATATGCATTAAGTCCAACTACAGAAAGGGGCTATGCTTTTGTACAAGATTGATGCTTGTTGGGCTGTGATTTTTGCAAACTGCATCTAGTCTTACATACAGAATTATTGACATAATTTTCCTGTATTTATCTTTCACTTTTTTTTACATTCCAACCTTTTCTTGAGTTAGTGCGGTGACCTAAATCTTCCTTTACAACCTGATCTTCTTCCACGATGTCCGACATTGGAACATTAAAGCTGATAGTATCTTCATCAGATGGCTAAGAAGAAATAAGTGAAAAACTTGTTACAGCTCAAACCAAGACTGATAAAAACGTATGTATTAAGAACTGAGTGCTCATTAAAGAGTGGCAAACTAATATGTGAGAGGATACCAGAGCATCTAACATGACCAAATCCTGCTGTAGGAAGCTGTAGTCATGTCAAATACATCCTCACAGTAGGCTTGCTCACTTCTTCACTGCACTAGTCCTCTCCTTGTAGCGACATCATTGCACTGTGCACATGCATGCCCTCCGCCTGCCTTCCTGGAACAGCTGAAAATAGAGGCTCCTTGTTGCCACCAAAGTTTGTAGGAAAACTGAGCATGATATCATAGTCCTTTATTCTTTCCCTCCAAGACTCTTCTCTCCTGCTTTACCATGCAGCTTATTAATTTAAATGTACTTTAGGCTGAGACAATATCTTGTATTAGATTAACTGGTAGAACTGAAAACAGGTATAAGCTTATACTAGTGTACACTAGTAGTAACACGGTAGTAACTCTGTGAATTCACTGTTCATTTCTGCTGCTTAAAGAGAAAAAATTCAAAAGGATGTTCAGGGACTTTAGCAATAAATTCTTATCAAAATGATGAAAATTTATAATGAAGTGAACTAATATTGTAGTATTGTTCCAATTTGTCAATTTTTAAAATAAATTTTAAGTTTTAAAATGAAACAAATTAGTATCTTTGACATGAAAGTATTTTAAACATGAAACAGTTTAACAGTTTGGTTGTTTTTTGGTTTTGTTTTTTTTTTTTTTTTAAAAAAAAGGACATGCACAGTATAAATTCATTTTAGACAACCAAGGTTACAGTGAAGTTCATTTTTTCTTTCAGGCTGTATCTCATGTGACATTTAAGCACTAAATTTAATTGTTCTAGATCAAAGATTCATGTTTTCTTAATGTTGCAACTATCATTTGAAAATATTACAGTTAAATGTTCTTATATGCATTATTACAAGTTCTAAATACTAAAACAGGTAAGATTTTTTTCTCAGCAGAGAAACACACACAGCTTTTAGGAAAATATTCTGAAGTTTTGGTGTAAAAAAAGCCATGGGTCATCCAATTTGGAAACAGAAAATCATTCCTTTAACAGGCTATGTCTCACTTTCAGGGCCTACAGAATTCTGCAACTGATTTTCCAGGTGCTTCCTGCCAGTGTACTATGAAACAGAAACTATCCAAAGTAGCTCACAACAATACAAAAGTATTGCTCCTTCATAGCCAAAATACTGTATCTCAGTTTCTTTGTCCACAGTTTTATTTTTATTCAGCTAGCAACAGAAGATGACAATAGTCATAAAAGAATAAAAAACATCTAAAATTATTCCAATACTGAATTCAGACGATGTATATTGAAAGAATCTTCATATACATTCTTGCTAGTGCTAATGTGTCACTCTTCCATAATAAAGCAGGGACACCATCTAGATCTTAATAAGTACCCTGTTGCTGTAACGAATTTTAACTAAGGACAAAGGGAAGTGGAAAATGAATCAAAAGGCTACACTGTTCCTAGAAGATGAGATATATGAGTGCACTACCTTAAAGCAGAATTTGCCTTCAAGTTGCCACGATCAATTTTACAGCAACACAAGATATATTTCACTTGAAATGCCCAAGATTACTATAGTTCTGAAGAACTGACCCTGTAATGACCTTTCCAACAAGCCAGACAGAAATATGTAAATTGTTCATTTAATCAAGTACTCCATCCTATGTGTATGGACCCAAAGCTAATTAGCAAGCTTCCTAAAAAATATATTAGCATTCGAACAAGTGACTAATTTAAGTTACCATTTTTAAATTACACAAATGAAAAATGACCTTGTAGTATTTTCTGTAAAAGAGCTGAAACTCGAGAGCCACTAGTCTTCAAAGCAAACTGTACTTTGTTTTTGTATGTCTGACATATTTATAGAAACCCCCCAAAAATGTGTTTTAATTATCACTTTATGACTCACCATTCAATGTTTATCTAATGTTTTGTATGTAATTAACAACGTATGTGAATCTGTTTTCACAACATGCTGATACTTCTTGCACAACTTTCATGCGTAACACAGGTATTAAAGGTTGCCTCAGAAGGAAAAGTGAGTGGTGAATTTACTCCCAAACACCTTTGAGATTACCGATCTCAGCATCTATTTTCACCTTAACAGCAGAGCAGTAGTCAGGTAGGGATAGAATGAGTAAATAGATCTCATATAAAAAGCCTTTGAGCGAATAAAAATGTACCGGTTCACTGTTGGTTGTGTTTAAAACAATTTTTTGCAGCATTTCAATTGCTATATTTTGATTACAGGAAAGATGATCTATTTTCTCAAGGTGTTATTTATAGCTAAAGAGGAAGTTCTGGAGTAATATTTTCATTAACAAGCTAACTCAGTTTCAGGAAGAGCAAGAATGGCAAAACAGTTTGTAAGCCTCTCTGAAAGGACTGCATGCTCTTACAACTAGAGGGAAACTACTGGAAGTCTGGCGAGAAATCACAATAATTCTGCTTCATTTCCATCTAGCAAGAAACTTGCCCAAATACTTGGAAATCCTTGTGGAGTTTTAAGTGCTTTTGTATTTAAAAGATCAATCAGTGTGTAAGTGGATTCATTTTCAATTTGCTTTTCAGTAACTACAAATTCAGTACCTAAACCTGATTTTTCATACATTTGTTCCAAAAGCAATAAAATCTCTTTTGCTCAAAGGAGGAGAGAAACACTAAAGAATCAGTGTAAAATTATTTTAAGCAGCAAGAAGACCATTCTTTTATTGTGACCTGAATATTTCCCACTAGATCAGACCACAAATCCCATTATTTGTACAATTCAAAGATCATCACTGACTGCAAATTATTTACTTAGTTATCACTTTTACTCAATTCCACTCCAACTAGATTCAGTGCCTCAGAAAAAAGGTCTAGGAAGTCAGCTGTAACTGCTTAGCCAACACTAGTGTCAGAAAGCCATCCTTACTCTTTGCTTAGTCAGACACCATAGTTCAGAAGAAATGATGACAGCTTATTTCCAGCACTGCCTAACTGCCAGAGCATGTAAACGCTTTAAGATCTGCAAAGCTTCTCAAGTTCCTACGCTACAGCAAACTGCCATAACCATGAACACACCAGGACTGGGCACACTAAACTCCTGTTAATTCCCAACAGGAAAGAGGTATCAGTCAGAGGGAAACCAGGTGAGAAGCAGCCAGGTGTGTAACCTGCGAAGACACTTACTTCGTTGGAAACAGCAGATGTGGATTCTGGTTTGGTCCTCATTCCCTACATTATGTAAACTGCCTGAAAACTGTAGTCACTTTTCACTATTGGTAGGCTGTTGACCATTTGTAAGCAACTATCTCACTGCCCTCTCCAGAAAGAGTACAGACAAAAAAGAAATAAAATCCCAGTCTCTTTTTATTGTTTTAGCCATTTCTTAGCAAGAAATTCATGTCAAGAATGTGGTTGCACAGTTTTGATGGCTACAAACATATTCACAGTTAGTCAACTTAAAATACAGTTAAAATATGGGTACAGAGGGAAGGGGAGCCGGACACAAAATTCAGGCAACTTACCTCTGTTGCTGACAAACGTTTATCACCATTATCACTACCAACACCTGAATCTGAGTCCTTTTTACTTGGGTAGATGTCATCAATGCTAGATGTGAATTATAAAAAAAAAAGCAAACAACAAACTAAACAACAATAAAAAGCTGTCATAGCATTTACCGTTAGAATTCTGCTCTAGTTTCTTGAATCAAAGCAAAATTCCAACCAGTCTCAATGGCAGAGGGTGAAATAGCCTAGTATGGTTAAGAACTATGTTTGCAGACTGGTGATAATAAATCAGCTGGAATGGCTGGTTAGCCTAATGATTAACAAAAACAACAGAAAACCAGAAATAATCTGCTATAAAACTTGCTGTTGTCGATACACTAGGTAAAAACGCTTAGTTACTAAGTAGCACAGGAGTATGAGTGAAGTCACTTACCCATGGGAAAAACAACTCAACTAGTTGAACTTAAACTGGAGTCAACTGATTTAATTGTAACCACTGATGCATTAAAAACGAACTGATATTTCCCTGCGGCTTGAAGTAGTTATTAACACAGAAACCTTCTTTTGGTGCTTTAAAATAGACTTTGAAATTTAGGTTTTTAAGAAAACAACTATAACAATGACAACTGCTGTCTCTTCTGGTTTCATTACCTAGTATGACCTTTACTCATTTTAAAGTACACTATTAGATCCAATACACTCATACTTTATTTTTTTTAATATGCTTTATTATCCTCTCATTTGCAATCCTGAAAGCTGCAATCCTGAATTCAGATTGGCACGGCAATTTTCAGTCTTCACATGAATAAGGTATGTGATTAATCCTAGTCTTAAATTACTTCTTACCAGTAAACACTAAGGATTTTGAGTAGAAACTGCATATAGAAATCCTAATTGGGTAATGCTTTTTCTTTAGAAGTGTGAAGTTATTCTCTAAAAAAAAATTTGGTAATTTGTGATAGAGCATTATGCTGTTAGTTACCAACTGGTACCTAACTCTGTACTATCCCCTTACCCTAACCTGTATGATTTTATATGACCAAAATGTCATACAGACCATGACATTCCTGTCAGTTTTCCTGTACACTAAAAGAACAAACCCAAAAACCAGTACATGTTTCCCAAGTGGAAAGCTTAATCTTCATCCTGGATTCTCCCCACCTTCAGCTTTTATCTGACAGAAATCCACACAGGTATCTCCAAACATACTTGGAGAAAAACAACTTGCTTGAAATCTTGTCTAGATGACTGACAGAGAGATTCTGTAACAGTTTTGTTTTGTTTTTCCCAGAGTGTTAGCAGTAACATCTCTATTTTTATTCACATCAATACTTTGTTTTTATTGAGTACTCCTCTCCAAAAATAAGGCATTATCATACTTTCTCTGATTTGCCATATTAAACTTCCCATGTTAGTGAAGAAAGAGTTGTCTAAAAACTGGCTTCAAATTAGCTATGGGGATTCTCATAAAAAGGGGCTGCTTTGTATCTAGTTCCTGTCCTTAAACAACCATACAAGATGATGTTTCCTAGATGTTTGATGTAACACATTGAAGATTTTGTCTTTTATTTTGCTAAAAAGTTTGCACATTTCACTTTAAGAGGGTCTCAACACTCATGCAGTTCTCTTTGCTGGATGGATATGCCTCTGGTTGAGTGAAAAAAGCTTAAAGCAACAATGCAACAAATGTATAGCAACATATAAATCACAAAACAACACTAGAAATTAAAACTGATTTGCTGGGTTAATAGATTTATAAGAAAGTTCCAACACACAATGATAGTACTATCTCAATTATTTTCAACATATTCCAGTATTCTACTAGTAAGAGGTTAGATTTAAACTCAGGTTCATTTCTAAGGTGTTTCCTAATGTATTGTTAACTTTAATCAGACCTGATTGTTAAAAATACTTTGTTCTAAACTCTTACATGGATTTCACTAGAACAAAATATATTAAACCAAAACAAATCTCTATTCAAAAAACTACACCCTAGATAGCATCTAAACAAATGAAACTCTGGAAGGTAAAGCTATAAATATATTTCACTTTGTTCACAAGTGTTATATGAAAAAACTAAGGGAGATTTTCATACATACCTCTCTTCCACAGGTTGTGGCAAGTGCTGTTGTTCTATGGCATTAAGATAGAGTGAGTCTGCTGTTTTAATCTGACAGGCCTGTACAGTCAGATATTTGAATATATGCACTTTACCCTTTGTACAAATCTGTTAGATAAGGAAAAAAAGTCAGGAATATATAGGTAAAATGAAAGAAATAATTTATTCCAAATGTCCCTTAGTGTAAAACTCCCTGAAAACCAACTCATATTGCCACAACAGATATCACATAAAGGAAAATATGTATTTTTTTAAAATTACTAAGTATTTCAATTACCAAACCAACTATTTGTGTGTACTAGTATAAAGACCTTCAGAGAGTAAGACAGAAAACAAGAAAATAATGTATTCTACTTTAAAAAAATTGAAATGAGCTTTTCCCTCAAGAAAATAATTACAATAAAATATACCGTATGGCCTGTTACTAACAGTAAATTTAATAATTATCTTCCAAAATTGATGAATAATTACATTTAATTAATCAGCATTTCCTTTATACTCTTACTCATATTGTTTTTACTAGTGTCCACCATCTTTATGATGCATTTCACCTGCACTTTAGAATTTTTTTCTTTAACTGCATCCTTCTATGTCAAGTGTTTTCTGAAACTTGCTCTGTATTTTTTGAGTTTAGTAACAGTATCAGCACTAGTTATGAAAAGCATTTCTCCAACGTAATAAAAACTCTCAAGTATGTCAACAGCTGTTGATCCAGAACAATGGTAGCTTTCAGAGATGTAGTTTGAATCGACTGTCCAGTAAGTCAACAACAACAAAGTTGTCCTTAAGCAACAAGCACAGGTCCTATTCATTTATTATCATTATCTCTCAGTGTGGCCTAACAGTTCAGAACAGGAGTTTGATTTCTTTGTGCATCACAATCTATAAAGTTACACTATAAAGTAAAATAAGTTTCATACGGATTACATTCTAGATGGTCTGTGTATTTTTTAAGAGTAAATCACTGCAGAACCTTACAGAACTAGGCTCTTATTAGGAGAGAGAAAATTTATCCAGGGAGTTTCTCAATTCTCTTTTTCAAAATTATATACATATTCCAACATTAAGGTTCACATGCAGATAGGAATGACAAAAATAAACAGCTAGCTAACAGAATGGAAATTCTAGATTCACGTTGGTTCCAGTAGTGCGCAGGTTCATGCACAGAGCATAACATACTTTCTGTGTTTTATTTATATATCAACAACTACTGTCTGTGATTGACTGAAGCTCAGAAGCCTGCAATTGCAGAAGGTGATATTTTCTAGGCTATAATTTGTTATCATCCACCCAATACTAAGAGATTATTTAAATGATAGATGTTACTTACTTGTGCTGGTGGAGACTGCAAAGGATTATTCTCAAGCAGTAATACTTGTAACTGCACCATCTTTCTAAAACAAATTGGAATCACAAGTACTTTATTGCAGGAAAAGTCGAACTTTACCAAGGGAAGCTGTATTAGTTCTAAAAGCAACAAAAAAGAGAGAAGGTGTTATATCTGTATTTGGTTTCACCATAAAATATTTCTGAATACACCCTCTTTTGCATTAAGGAAAAACACAAACTCAGGCAGAAATACGAACAACATTTACTCCATTCTATATTGGCAAATGAAGAGTGCTATTGTTATACAAGTGATGATAAATTTTAAAATAAATACTTTGATTTATTTTTTTTATCCTGAAACTCAGCTGACAGTTCCCATACTGCATTCATAGGAGAGTATTTGTGCAACTTAAAAGATACCTAGAATCATAAAGTTAATTCATTTAAAAAAAAAAACAAAACCCTCAGTGTTATTTAGTGAGTACCACTGAATGTTAAATTCTGCAAAATCAAATGGAATAAATTAGGTAAATTTATTTAGCTCATTAAAATTGAAAGGTAAATACTACTTTTTAAGCATATTCACTTACATGATAAAAAAAAAATCTTTCAAAAAGCTAATAAAAAGAGCTACTACAAAGGTATTAAATTTGTTGTTTTGTTTTGTTTTTTACCTTGGGGTAAAACTTCGAGGTAATTTCTTCTGACATTCAGTTCTTTTAAGGATTTCAGTTGGCCTATCTGCTGTGGTAATGCTGTGATTTCATTACAGCTGACATCCTACAGTAAAAGTAACAGAAATAATGAACTTTTGCCTCTTAAATATTACATAATACAGATGTTAAATTGTAGCTAATTTACTGTTACTGTTGTAACATTTTATTAACCTGAAAACATGGAATCATTTATGTTCTGTCTTCACAGTGCAAAACTAGATACATGAGGAAATGTTTACACATTACTTCAAACTCAGAGCAAATACTTATTTGGAGAATAAGATAATTTTTAAAGTTAATTTAATATCTATAGAAACATTCAAAACCATTTACTTAGATGTTCTACCTTTGCGTTCATATGAAGAACTCAGTAGCATGATTATATAACCAAATATGTTTGGATGAAGTATAAAACTGCTGCTGTGTGGATCTGATTTTTTAAAAAGGCTCCTGCTCTTTTAGAAGGACTATTTAATCAAGGAAAACAAAACAAAACAAAAAACCACAACCCACCAACAAACAAAAACAGCGAGATCACTCTAATGATGTTCAGGAAAGGCATATGTTCGATTATCACATCAAACAGGAGGACATAAAAAGAAAGATGGTCTTGCTTAGTATTATACAGATATTCAATATATTGTAAAAGGTACACCTTAAAAGCCTAAACTGGTTCTAAGCAAGTCTGATTTTGATGGCTAAATTCAACTAGTTTTATAATCTGGATGAAACTGGGACCTATCCTCATTTCAGCATTCCTAAAACAGTAACTGTTGTAAAGTTGTGTTGAAAGTATAGGGTCTGGCTATACTGAGCATTATTTCAAGCAACAAGTTTACATACAGTAGTATTACTGTAATAAATATTATACCTGAACACTATTGCTACCATGAAACTGCTACAAATGTGTACTAAAGATCAACTTCTTGGATAGTTTTCAGATACTAGCTCTCATTTTTACTGTCAAACTGTCTATAACCAAAGCAAAATCAAAAGGGCATTGAAGCCTCTGCTTACATCACAGGCAACTGGTAAATTTGAGTAACAGCCCAACTATGATTCCATTTCTGCATTAAAAAAAAAAAAAAAAGGAAACAGTGTATGACAGGAAAAACTGTATGACAGCTAAGGGAGAAATTTTCCTGAAAAGCTGAAGGAATACTTTTAGGATGTTCACTCCTACTCTCTTGATTGTTGCAAATGATGGATTTCTACAGTATCTGGGAGCTCTTAGGCCACAAAATTCCAAGTCATCTCTTTAAAGACAGTTACTTTAATACTGGTCAAAAGCGTTACATTAACTATCTTTAAGTCTGAAAACTAGTTAACAAGAAATTATAGTAAAAGGAAAATCTGATCTGACGATGCTACTCATCAGACGAGTTTCTTCTCATAACAGAACCTAAGTGCTGCCAAAGCTTCCTTCCCTTGTCAAAACAGAGTCAAGAAATCATTTTAGCTTTTAGATGAGGAAATTAAAAACCCCAGTTAACGAGCGCATCTTCTGTCCAAGTCACCACAAAGTATGGTTAATTGCACTATTCCCAGATAATTTATTTTTAAAGCTTTACTGTCCTATTTTTAATTTACAGACTTTAAAGAACTTCATAATTAGATACTCAATTTTTAGAGCACAGAATTTAAATTTAAAGTCACCTTGCAACAGAGAAACTCTACATCAAGTGTACTTATGCACATACATCAGAACAAGTTTTTTTCAGAGAATTTTAAAGGAAGTGGGGAGGAAAAAAAAAAGAAGGGGGGCGGGAAGCCTCAAAAACAAAGTCCACTTACAACCTTTCAAAACATCCTCAGTAAGAGAGATCTGTTGTGACAACATGTCAGCATTCATAAGATCTTTAGAGACAGCAGAATCCTTTCTCCTACTAAATAGTACAATCTTTTTTTTATTATTTTGTTTGAATAACTGTAGAAAACAAAGACCTATAACATTATTTCCAGTTATACTTATGGTCTTGACAATTATTAGACTTCATGAGTGTGTATGTGACAAGAGACAGTGTTTATCTTTCCCATTACTTTGGCAGTAATGGAAGCAATACTATCAAAGTGCCTACAGTTTTCGGGTTAATAATTTTTTAAAGGAACTAGATAACCAACAGCCTGGAACTTCATGGACACCTGCAGACAACTGAAGTGAAGTCCAAACACCTACTCAAGTTCCAGGGGCTAGCGTTTGCTGAAAGTCAGACTTCTTGCACTAAATCTATTTCATCCTGCCATTACAAAATAGACAAAATTTCTCAAGATTAGAGAAAGGTAAGGCACATTTAAATTTAACATTAATTTTTGTGTCATGGAGCTCAATGTCATGAAAACAAACAAAAATCATCAACATTTTTCTTTTGTTTATGGTAAAGTTTAAACAGTTTTAAACCAATAAAATTCAGCATAATAGAAACATAAAAACAAATATGGTACTTTGGCTCCATATTAACATATTTATTGAGTTTGTCCAAACAATCCAAATTGAGGTAAACTTCTTCCTTACATCCAGTTTAAAACTTGCTGCTCCTTACTGAGCTGTTATTCCTAAAAAGCACGTGGATTCTGTCAGAGCTCGTGACATACATGCCACAGTGAATGGTAAAAAGAAGTTACACAGTGCGTGAGCACATGGATCCTTTTAGGTAACAGAAGGCAGGAGCTCCCACTTGGTCAGGCTGCTGGCCCAGATTAGATGAATGAAATGAAGAACCTAAATCCCTGCTCAGAGATTTAAAGGCTTCCAACGTGAGACAGGAGCATCCCTGAAGTGGAGAAAGCCATTCTCTGGAGAAGGCAGGAGTGCAACACTGCCTGATAGAACGGAGAACAGAATTTTACTGTACATCTGATAGTTTTAGTGACATTCAATAGTCATGTCTGCTAAATTACTTTTCTTTGATGGAAAAGAAGGTTCAGATTATCTTCACACCAGTTTTGCCCTCATCCTTCTAGCTGACAGTAGAGGTATGATCAAGTTATGAAGCTGCAAATAAAACTAAGTTTCCCAACCAAATTGTCCAAGTAATTAATGACAAAACAAGGGGAAATGGGTTTAAGCTGAAAGAGGGTAGGTTTAGATTAGATATTAGGAAGAAGTTCTTCACTGTGAGGGTGGTCAGACACTGGAAGAGGTTGCCCAAGGAAGTTGTGGATGCCCCCTCCCTGGAAGTGTTCAAGGCCAGGCTGGATGAGGCTTTGAGCAACCTGGTCTAGTGGAAGGTGTCCCTGCTCATGGCAGGGGTGTTGGAACTAGATGATCTTTAAGGTCCTTTCCAACCCAAAACATTCTATGATTCTATGATAATATATCCTTCAGGAAGAATAACTGATATGTTATTTTGATTGCTTCCAAGATAGCTGACAGATCTATGTAACACAGAATCCTAAAATTTAAAAGAATACCTGAAAGTTTACTGCATGTAACATCTAAGCCATTCTATGCCAGAAATATGAAGTTTATATAAATATAAACATGTAATAGAAAAAGAATAATCTACCCCATTTTAGAGGAGAGAGAGAACAAAGTGACCTAATTTGCAGCAAACTTGTATCACTCAGGACTGACTACAGAGGTAAAGTTTTTCAAAAAGTTAGATAACAACAAAAATCCATCTGATACGTACACATAGATTTCACTGCATGCAGTCTGTGAAAAGCTGTAGAACACTGAAAACTGAGGGTGCTTGGCAAAGTCCTAGTAATACAAGAACTGAATGCAGTTAGGTGGCACCTGTCACGTCTCAGGACTGGTCCCCTGGGTCAGCTCGGCACCAGCACAGTGTATGTCCCAAAACAAGAGCACGTCCTGCCAGAGGGCTGGGTGGTGGTGTCACTTGAAGGCCACATGCTGTTAGGCTGGCATTGCTCTCGCACAGCTGAATGTTTTGTGCAACAACTGCAGCATGACTTAATCGGTTTTTTGTTTTGGTTTGGTTTTTTTTACTTGTTTTGGAACAATGGTCACCTTATTATCTAAACTGCATGATATTATATATGCCAATATAGATACTGGGTCTACCACTATTTGCTTCTCCCAGTACACCACAGTTTAGTCATTTCCAACTAAATAATACAATTCATTTCACTGGAAATGTACCAAACACTTTTGATGGCATCAAACTAAGTCATCGGGTCCTCTGAACAGAACCATATCTAATTTAACAAAAACTAATTATTCACTTCTTCCTCACCCCTTCTAATCACACAGAACTGGCATCAGACCTTCAGCTTTCATAATTCTTCTAGGCTACCGAAGTGACATGCTGCTATAGCTTCTCATTTGAAATATTTTTAGAGCAGGAATTGTTGTGCTCTTCATGTCGAATAGTAACACTGAAATTACACTGTAACTGGAAAGCCATATGAAAATCCAGTATTCCAGAAGTTTAATTTAAACATATGATTTGTTTAAAAAAAACAAATAAACCCTACCTCCTTTGAGTATAATCTACATTGATTTCAATTTTTAACTTTTCAAAATTCTAAAATAAGGATAAGGGCTATTATTAAACTAAGTACAAACTCTTAATTAACAAAGGCAACACTTTCAGCATCACCAATGTGAGTTCACCTTACCAGGAGGGTTCAAACCTTGAAATTGGAGGGGAAGTTAGACATGCAAGCACTTCAGCAGCTCTTTATTGGAAATATTATCCCAGACCTCAATTAATACAAATAAAACGGGTGATTTTAAGTCCTTCAGGTGTTTCTGAAGTTCCCACAGACTGGAAAAAAGGAAACATAATCCCAATTTTTAAAAAGGGAAACAAGGAAGATGAAGGAAACTACAGGCCAATCAGTGTCACCCCTGTGCCTGGCAAGATCACTGAGCAGATCCTCCTGGAAACTATGCTAGGCAGATGGGAAGTGAGGAGGTGACTGATGACAGCCAACATGGCTTCACCAAGAGCAAATCGTGCCTGACGAATTTGGTGGCCTTCTGTGATGGGGTTACAGCATTGCTGGGTAAGGGAAAAGCAACTGATGTCATCTACCTGTACTTGTGCAAGGTGTTTGACACTGTCCTGCATGACATCCTTGTCTCTTCAGTTTAGAGACATGGACTGAGTTGGTGGACCATTCAGTCAATAAGGAATTGGCCAGATGGTCGCACGCAAAGAGTTGTGGTCAATGTTGCAATGTCTCCCAGTGGAGACTGGTGGCATCCCTCAGGGGTTGGTATTGGAACCGGTGCACTTCAACATCTTTGCTGGTGACACGGACAGTGGGATTGAGTGCACCCTCAGCAGGTTTGCCGATAACACCAAGCTGTGTCGCTCAGTCAACACACTGGAGGGAAGGGATTCCACCCAGAGGGACCTTGACAGGCTTGAGAAGTGGCCTGGGGTAACCTCATGAAGTTCAACAAGGCCAAATACAAGGTCCTGCACCTGGGTCAGGTCAATCCCAAGCACAAATACAGGCTGGACAAAGAATTAATTGATAGCAGCCCTACGAAAAAGGACTTGTGGGTACTGGTGGACGAGAAGATCAACAGGAGCCGGCAATGTGCACTCACAGCTCAGAAGGCCAACTGCATCCTGGGCTGCATCAATAGAAGCGTGGCCAGCAGGTCGAGGGAGGTGCCTCTGCCCATCCACTCTGCTCTCATGAGACCCCACCTGGAATACTGCACCCAGTTCTGGGGTACCCAACATAAGAAAGACATGGACCTATTGGGGCAAATCCAGAGGATGGCCACAAGGATGACCCAAGCACCTCTTCGGTGGCTGGAGCACCTTTCCTGTGAGGACAGGCTGAGAGAGTTGGGGCTGTTCACCCTGGAAAAGAGAGGGCTTATAACAGCCTTTCAGTACCTGAAGAGGTTCACAGGAAGGCTGTCGAGGGACTTCTTGCAAGGGCAGGTAGTGATAGGACATAGGGTAAAAGCTTTAAACTGGCAGAGGGGAGGTTTAGATGAGATATTAGGAAGAAATTCTTCACTGTGAGGGTGGTCAGACACTGGAACAGGTTGCCCAGAGAAGTTGTGGATGCCCCCTCCCTGGAAGTGTTTAAGGTCAGGCTGGATGAGGCTTTGAGCAACCTGGTCTAGTGGAAGGTGCCCCTGCTCCTGACAGGGGGTTTGGAACAAGATGACCTTTAAGATCCCTTCCAACCCTAACCATTCTGTGATTCTATAATTTTGACCAGACAGAATCAGGTTAAGTCTTTCGATTATTTTATGAGCTACTCACCATTAAGCCAGACTACATTTAAATTAGAAGTAACCAAGAGCTAACAGGTTCCAACCTCTTCACTCATCCTATCCCCTAAACTCAGGATGTGTTTAATACTGTTCAAATTTAATTACATATGAAACTGGAAACAATCTTTTATTGAATCTATTTTAAGCACAACAGTAACAATGCTATAGCCTAACACATTTTTTGAAGGTTTATAAAATCAAAAGCATTTAAGTCATCTAATTAAACTCTTCACACATACAAAAAATTTAAACTATTTAGTAAGATAAATTAACAATGCTCACCAAGCAAAACAAAAACCTGGTAGTCTTTAGCTTAAGCATAACCCAGAAAGGAAATGTCAATCCTCACCAACAGCCACAACAGTTGTAATAAATAATAGAATCCTACTACCACAGGATGCTGTATGAAGAAAATACTAGAAGGAAAAAAGCCACTTCGCTCCACAAATAAAGAACTGGTAGCAGGACTGGGGCCTAAAGCAAGGTCAGCTCAATTTCTGTAACGTAACTTAGTAGAGGAACTACTGTTATAAAAATAATAATATGATAAGCAGGCACTTTCAAATACTGAAAAGATGTGTAAGAGATGCGGTCAATGGAGACACCAGCAGCTGGAAAAGAAGTTAAAATATCATCGTTTTACTGTGCATAAATTAGCAGTGTCAGAATGTAGTTTATTTGTCAATTTGCATCTTAAGAGTTCAAGGTGAACAGAAATAACCAGAAGACATAACATATATGCCTCAGCATACAATACACAAAAGAGGAAGAAAAGGGGAGAGAAAGGGAAGCTTTCTCTTACATACATTTTCCACATACAAAATTTTAAAATACATGTATAATGAAATTAATTTTAAGTTAAGGTACCAAATAATTTTTGCCTTTATTAGACAATATATTATAGATGATCTACTGCTTGCAGAAACAGTAGTCATGTGGACAACTTTGAAAAAAAGAGGAATATAAAAATTTTGTACATCTGTTTAGATGGGTGTTCCAGGAAAGGAAGGTTGCATGACAAAAATAGTGAAATAAAATGAAAACAGACTGATAAGACCAGTATCACTAGTGGAAAGCAATGTGGTAAGCAGATAGTAATAACAGAGAGAAAGGAAGCAGAAGGGAAGGGTGCTACAGCAGGGGATACAACTTTGCAGAGCCTGAGGGAAGAACTATGAACTTGATAGAGCAAAACAGGGAGCAAGTGGTGAGTAAAACTGGTAAAGACTACAAACTTAGAAGCTGAGTTTTGAATGAACCAAGGGTAGTGATGTTGTTTAGAAAGGTTCTGAAGAACATAGATGAAACTATTATTGTGTTGTTAACCAACACACTTGAGAAGTTCAAAAGTTTATTTTTTTAGCCTGCATTGCAGTATTAGACATTTGTTCAAATGTATTTGCAAAATTAATTTTACTGTTTCTAGTTAAATACAAATGAAGTCAAAATAAAAAATGATCAGTAACATACCAGTTCCATTAAGTGTTTTAGCTGACCTATCTCTTCTGGAAGACAACCTAGCTTATTGTTACTTGCAATTAAGACTTTTAGAGGAAGGCCACACAGGCAAGCTGGCAAAGAAGAAAGCTGATTTCGACTGCAACAAAACAAAAAGAAAAAAAAAACAACCATTAAAACCAACAGTGATATTCTTCTGTATACTGACATAAAGTCTGACAGTTGTAAAATTCCTTCATTTTGATGGGTCAGATTTTATGCAGATAAAATTTAAATTTTTGCAATAGCAATCATTAAGAAAACACTTGCACATCAAAAATATCTGAATTATTGAGTAAACAATATTGTGGAATATTACCACTCCGGAAAAAGTGCATTATATCAGTTTAACAATATTGTAACAA